TTGGAGAAAAATTACAGATAAGGGAGTATATTATATGTGAATGAATATGACAACAAACAGGAAAAACTCATCAAGATCTCAAAAGGACTCATAGTCACAGATATTCTTGGTACTGATGAGGGCATTACAGCCCTCAACAAATTCATTCAAATGTCAATAGCCTTCAAAAAGACACAACCAGCAATGTCTTAATATTGCACTACTTGGATAGCAAGCTGGACAGACCCGCCCAAAGTGTTACAGCCTATGGTGCCTGAAATATATGGTCAACTGAGCCTATATATTTCACCCATTTTTGCATAATTTTTCCCTCTCTCCTATGTTTTCCCTTTGTATTTCATAATATGTATACATGCTATGGTCCATGTTACAAAGCAAAGACACTCATGGGACACACTGCCTCTTTGCAAAGCATGATACTAACAATAGAATTCTCTCTCTGTCTCTCTCTGAGGCCAATTATTGATGCTGGACATAATAGAATAGGAGTTACAGGTGGAGATGGTGCAGTGAGAAGAATTCACCCTATTTTTGCTTGCTATGTTGCTTATTTTATAAGACTTTATCCAGAGCAATGTCTAGTAACTTGCTCCAAGTATGGAATATATCCCAAGTGCACAGACTTTGAAAATAAAGAAGCTAATGAGCCCAGGAAATCTGATTGGACTTTCTCTGTCATCAATTCTGCATTTTCTTCAAACTTAAGGACAGTATTTTTTTGATCAATGTATGGATGAAAACATATCTGAAGGTTTTTATAGGCCATTTTGGGAGCATTTTCTTTTACTGTGACATCCATATTTTCAATACCTCTGATATTTTATATCAGCTTTACTAGGATGTTATCAAGCATATAGTATCACGGTGCCAACATCTCATAGAAACAGAGAAACTGGGTGCAAGATTACACAATTTACCTATTGAATATGGATTCAAGCATTTTAAAAATGATTTTTCAACTCTATCTCAGATATTTGGAGGCAGGAGGAAAAATATGACTGAGGTACTTTTAGGACGTTTTGTAGGCAAGCTCCCAATGCAGGCAATTATTTCAATTAATTTACTCTTGAACTGTATTTACATTGCTCAGAACCCCACACTTAATGATACCATTCTTATTTATCTGACACTCTCAAAATATTTCATTAAAACAAAGTAATCTTTGTCACTCTGGCTGTTAGAGAACATTTAAATATTCCTAAATTTCACTCTCTACTATACTATGTTGGCTCTATTTGCTAGTTTGGGGCTACAAATAACTACAACATAGAAATGTTTGAACATTTCCACATAAACATGGCCAAGAATGCATGGAGACATCAAATCATAGAAATGAGTGTCCACAAATAACCACCTGGCTAACAAGGCAAGGAAAAACTGCACAATTTGAATGCTATCAATCTTCTTTACAAAAGAGACCAGTTCTTCAACAGCAAGATATTCTCTAGAATCCATCTGAATTAGGTATTAAAATAGCCAAAGTACCCTCCTCTTCCACAACAACCCCTTCATTTTATTCAAAAAAACCACCAATATTATGGCTTTATACATAATGTCAAGGAATTTATGAATCACCTATTGCATGGCCAGCCAGGTCATATGTCCAGAACTCAAGTCAATGTTGCAAATCTCCCATTTGATTTACTTGACTTGGTTTCAAACTCACTCCAATTCACCTTGGAGATGATGCTAATGCAATTGTAAAATACAAAGTCATCAAGGCAAGACCTAGGTCCTGTGACAATACCCAAAGTTTGTATACTCTGGTGCACACACAAAGGAACTCAAAAGGATAGGGATGGAGAAGATAAGAGGTCTTAGACTCAAGTTATTAGGAAGAAGTTAGTTGATGGTATTCAACAGGAGGACTTGCCAAGGAGTCTCCATCTATTGCAAGGGTATACATACTAAAATACATGTACATATGGTACTGTACAGTTAATATAAATAAAGGTAAACATTCCAGAGTGTTCTATTGTATTCTATATAATGTCACTGCTGAGTAAGTGAAGTGTTTGATGTCATAGCATATGACCAGTCATGCATTGAGTCTAGACAAGGCTTAGGGAATGTGTCACGTGGGCAGTCACGTGACTCTCAAAAGTAAAAGTCCAAAAAATAAAAGTAAAATAAAAGTAAAATAGATGCCAAAAACACTGTTGTAGTAGCAAGCATATTTCCTGAACCGTAGACTAAACTGAGGTCCACAAACCAAAAACCAGACCAAACTAAACCTGGACCTAGAGTTTAGCAAACTAAACTTTACCATCCCAACTTGCAACAAAGTTCAGACTCAATCAGGAACATAGCAACATCACTTTAATAGGCATTTTAACACCATGTTCATGCCAAATCTGTTGGAATAGTCAAGGTCAAAGCCTGTTAGCCTTGTTAGACAACACATATCATGAGTTGACATTAGTACAAGGGCTGGTAGCTCAGTTGGTTAGAGCACCACCATATATAAGCAGAGTCCTGAGTTCAATCCCTGGCTGTCACTTGCTTTTATACACTCCCTGTGGTCAGGTGGCTATGTGAGGTCACATGGCTAAATCCAATATTGTATGGACTTCATTACAATCATTTTAGTATACATTTACTACTATACAAACTATCACTGAACACTTTTTTTCGCTTTTTTGCACATTACATAATCAATTCCCACACTCAACTAGCAAAACTCAGATACCTCAGTAACAACAACCTCAGTCTTCTCCAAATAGACTGAGGTATGTCAAACTGCTACTATAGACCATTACAACAAACTCACAATATTCCTTAGTCACTCTATTATTACAGATAACAAAATCATGGTAACAGTTTTTGCAAATTTCTAACAGTGCTTGTAGTTAGTCTTTTGCTTTCACTTGTAATTCACCATTAGTTTTATCTGATGTGTAGAGACTAGACAGAACCAACACTAGGTAGAATTGTAAGATAACAGTAGTACTATGATAATAATAAAAAAGATATAACTTTGTGATTAGACCAACTGAGGAAAAAAAGATGAAGTAAGAAATAAGTAAGCACCATATAGTGAAAAGGAGAAATAAGTCACTGTGTTTGAATTGCCTTTGTATTGCAAACTATAATTCATGGTATTTAACATCATATTGTCCATATTTGTACTTAGCAACAAGTTGATTGTTCTTTGCTTTCTCTGAGAATAGCCTTAATTAAGTTCTTAGGGGCAATGACTTTATATCACATTTATTAAATAGTTTCTCAAGGTAGGTTCAGGCTGTTCTAAGTGTTGATTCAAGCTGTTTTATTTGATAGTGTAATTTAAGCAGATAATTATCCTTAGTACATTTTTTATGCCCTTAACAAATTATTGGCTCTTCAGAAAAATCCAGGTACCATAGGCTACCAGGTCTGCCTTTTATTAAACTGGATTTTGCAGCAGATTTTTACACCATATTCTGGTTGTCCTTCCTAGTTGTCCCCAGGTCTTTCCTTTTCCCTTGTTTCTCTAACTTGCTTGTCTCTCTTATCTTTTGTATAAATTCATTTTGCCTTGCATGTCCCGTGTGTTCCATTTTCTATTTCATTCCTATGGGTCAGTCACCCAAGTCTTGTTACCAGACATTTGTATGAGGACACCCCCATTGAGTCATGCTGTTATGCCAACTGGCCATTTTGGGTCAAACCAGTGTCTAAATAAAGCAGGAGTGAATGAAATGATCTACTAGTGTCATTGTGATTTGTCAGCATAGGTAGATAGCCAGAATTTGTATTTGGTACAAATGAATGCAATCCAATGCCAACGACTGAGTCATGTCCATTGTCTCATGACAATGACAAGGCTTAGTTGTATGCCCATTTGGCTCAAACCTGTGCCAAATCCCCTAATTACTCATCTGAGAGTACACGCGCAACCATAATAGACCCTGATCTGCACGGTTGTCAGGGGGTGGTCCGCTTGTTAAACTGTCAACCCTTCTCCAACTGGCGGAGGCAAATGCCTGGCCTGGTCAGAGGTATCCACACCACCATTGAGCTATAGTACTCCCCTCAACACTGGGGGCTGTGTATATTTGATTCTAATCTCTCCAATACCTCGGAACAAAGAGCTTGCAACGAACTTGTGGTACATGCTTTCTCAATACCAAACTGGCATTAAAGTCTTATCTTTCGAAAGACATCCACTTAATCATGTGGTCCTGGTTTGCACAAAGTGCAAGAGAGTTAATAAGAACAAGTTTTAATGTAACAACCAAGAGTTTGTATATTCTGGCACAGATCTCAAACAAGCTGTAGTGAAGTGAGTGGGAGTGATTACCCCTTGTGATAGGACCAAATTGGTTGTGGGTAAACAACAGGAGGACTTGCTAAGGAGTCTCCTTGATCTATTGGGGTTTATATACATCTACAGACTATTTTTAAATGTGTTCTATACAGTTGATGAAGGTAGTGGCTGATGATGTCATAGGGCACAGCCCGTGTAACCAGCTCCACTGCATGAGAGACTTGTAGCTAAGAATAAAGAAAAACAGTGTAACACGAGAAAGTGAAGTTTGAACAAAAATAAAAAGTGCTGTATAGCACAGTGTGTGAAAACTACAAAAGAAAGCTAAAGTGGAGAATGAAATTGACAGGGCCAAAAATTGTATATTGTAACAATAATATGATAAACCTGTTTGTGACCTATTCATCTTAGTGAGCCCAAACATCCAAGCTACCACCAAGCCTTCTAAATGATCCAATGCACACTGATACTTGTGCATTGCTAGTAATTTCTCTGTGGTCTGCCATCCAGTGCTGTAGGGTGTCCACTGTTTAATAAATTGAAGCCTCATTTCTATTTGATGAACCCTTTCCAACTCCTTGTTGAATTTTTCCATGGTGTGGCGGCGTGCCATGCTGTTTTGATCTTTTGAGTAGACCATGACATTGCAGAAGCTGTTATGTTGAATGTGATTTCAAGTGTGGCATTGAGTTTTTGTCTATAAGGATACATGAGGTTAGCTCTACATAGGATAAAATAAACATCACATACTCTACTCCTTATCCCGTAACTCAATTAATAGCTCTAGATACTCCATTTTTAGTGTTTCATCCTGGGGTTCCTTCCATAAGCTATTGAGATACTGCTTCTTTTTCCAAGTCTCAAACAGACTTTCAGTGACTTCCAAATCTTGCATTGCGCATGCCAGATTGACTGGACCAGTGACGAGGATATCTAGTGCCTACTTGTAGTTATTGTATAAAAACATCACTACAGTAGATCAATATGGATGAATGGATAATAAATGTGAGCACTTACTAAGGTTCTGGTATATTTCAAAGGTGTCATTTTGCTCAAAATACAAGGTGATTGCCTGCTTGCAATGAAAGACACTTGAGTAGTGAACCAACAATGCCAGTGCATTTGACTTTGAGAATACTCATTCACAACATTCTAGGTCCTCAAGACAGAGTCCTTTTACATAAGTTGCAAGGTGGTCCAGCTGGCAAAGACGCCTGGGTGCATGGCCATGAAATGCACCAACCAGGGATGTGTGATTGAGCTCACGTGCACATTTCCCAAGTGGACTTTTGTACAGTGTGGTCTTGAACTTACAGTTATTGTCAAACCCACCGGCTAAGCCATCACCAAAGGCATCAAAAAGCTTTTCTACCACAGCAAGAGGATGCTTTGCACTGTAGAAGAGTGATTATCCAACAACTATATGTGTCAACAAGAGAAAAACTAACAGCTCAGCACTTTGGACCATATCTGCAATGATGAGACAGAAGCCGGCAACAGACTGCCAGAAATATTCCAGTCTTGTCAAATATCCCCCACATTCTCTTTGTGATATTCTTTTTCATGTTTTTCCAGCGGCTGGTACAAGGGTTTTCCTTTATGTTGTCCTATAAACATTGTTAGGTGATATTCTTTTTTATGTTCTTCCAGCAACTGGCACAAGGGTTTTCCTCTATGTTGTCCTATAAACATTGTTAGATAGACTAAAATATATAGTTTTGTGAGAATGTGATTACCGCAGTTTCTTCAGCTAAATCTTGAAGTGCATCATTGGCCCACTTATTGACATATGCCCGTGAGAGATAACAATCTCCATAAACTTTTTGAGTTGTTGGGAACTCACATGGCTGGCCTGGTCCATCATCATTGTGGTCAGTTGGTGTGTGTCTTATGACCCTCTTCAAAGAGTTATTGTCATCCATGGTATAGAGAAGCTGGAACTGAAGAGGAGCCTTTCCCTTTAGTATGTAAATGCATGCCAGACATGCATGCTTGAGTCGCCAATCAGGTAGGTCACAACGCAGGGCCTTCAGTACCCAATCATTCACAAGTGCCTGGATTTTGAGATAGAGATCCAACATTATTGAGAATTATTGAGAAAGATGCTTCCTGTAAGAGACCTACATAGAACCAATGGAAAATGTGTGATCAAGGATGGAGCACAAGTAAACACATACCCCATGAAGATCCACCAGAGTTTTGATGAATGCCTGTATGAAAAAGTGGGGGTTCCTGAAATGTGCGCAATGATATAGTTCAAGAGCATCAATAGTGATGCCAATGGTTGGCATTATTGGAGAGGAGTGGCACCACACCTTGGCATAGAAGTGCAGATGCTACAAAAGGATCAGTATTTCAAGTTGACATCTCTGTGCAACTGAGTAAAAAGATACTGTTATCCCCTGCAAGCAAAATATATAAGTAACACTTACTGTAGTCATTGACAACCTTGATCTTGATATGGCCTGTTGACTCTGCTGCCCTTGACTGGCTGTCCCTCCAGTAGTCTGCTAAGAATCCTTGCCCAATACCTTTCTCTCACTTATAATACCACTCAATGTATAATTCAGTAAGTTCTGGCAGTTGTTTTTGAAACACATTTGCTCAATGCAACACACAGTCACATCAGTTTTGGTAGTCTTGACATCATGGTTTACAAAAATGATGATGGCTGACAACTGGTGAGTTTTTGATGTAGATTTAATCAATAGACTTGAAGCACCTTTTCCAGATATTATCTTTGAGCTGTGAGGCCAATGCTTCAAATTCCCCACCTGCATGACTTATATCTAACGCCTCGGAACCATCGAGAATCTGCTCCATATTGATTTCATCGCCATCATTGTTATCTTCAAACCATGATAATTTGCCACCTTGTGGAAGGTTTTTGAGAACGTCAAGTGCCAGGCTCCAAACCAGTCGACAGATGTGTGTATATGCTACATCCTAGTGCTTAGTGATTATATAATCTGATTGTATAATTATTCGAAAAATTACCGAAACTTGAGTTGAGCATAACACACATGGCCGACTGGCACAACTTGTAGTGGCGCCAGATTTGGCCCTACTTGCCTTTCCACTCCTTCCTCTCAAATTGGACAGGTTGTAACCGCCGTCCGGGGAACATCAATCAGAGTTGTAAAAATAGAAAACAATTTGGATATAATGTACCTAAGCAATCTATATTTTGCTGCAAGTGAAATGGGTTGTGAGTGAGCTGCAAGGATACAGCGTTATGCAAGGAATGTAAAACACAATTATAGCAACCTATATAAGAACCTGACTGCCCTATGCTAACCTAAGGACACCACCACAATGCCAGGAAACAGTACTGCAAGCTGGTTAAGTCACATTATGAACTCACACTTTCAGGAGTGATCCAAGAAGTTTTACAGAGCGACAAACCTAGTCACAAAACAGCCCAGGAGTCGCTTATATGCAACGCACAAAGGATATGTACTGTGCTACACAAGCAGTCGGCCGCTCACCAGTCAGTATTTTCATGGGCATTTGGGCTTGTTAGTGGGGTGTTGTTATGGCTGCTTTCCATCAGCATTTCTGGGGCGCCGCTTCAGCCCAAAAAACACCTCTGCAAGATAAGCTATCCTTCCCTCAGGATCATACCCAAAGATTATATAGTCGGCACCAGTATGATTGCTTGTGGACATTGTGTGGTGTATGGAAGGATGGTATAATGAGTTGCAATCCTCTGCTAATTCTAGTTCAGTTCAGACAAATATATGCATTTCAGATACTGAATACTGGCCACTGAATAAAGAACAAGGGGGTACTACATAGGTGCGGTCTTTATTTTTTCTTAAATTTCATGTTGTTCTACAACACCGGTAATTCTGGATTTGTACGTATAATAAGGGTGCACTCTACTGATATATAACTTTCCTCAAACAAATGGCTGCAGAACCGGACTCATCCCAAGCCCTCCCTTCGTACAATGATGACAGACCATTGGCAACAACCGCAAGAGAAAAATGTTGTATTGCAGCACTGAAAGAAGAGCTCAGCATCTTACAAGGTTCAGCTTCAAAATGTTGCAGGTGAGCTATAGTGGAACCATCATTCTTAAGCTAAATATCTGTATTTTCTTTTTGTGATAACCTAGTGATAACCTAACAATAGTTAACAAGGGTCGTGTGATACAAAGGCTGGTGACTTTGTTCAATGACATTAGTAAGCTTGTCCAAGAGAATGATTGATGGCTCAAAAGGCAATGGGATGCAAGGACAGCTGATGGCACTGATAAGTGGGTTATCTCTGAAATATTCTATACCTTCATTCATGATTAAATTGAGCATGTACAGGCAGAATATGCTTTATAAAGGCTATATAGAACTCATTCACTTCCTCCCCTTTGTGAAATGCAAAGTTATGCCCCCAGACCCTTCAAAGCTGGAGGATTTTTTCAGGCTAGTAAGTTTCAATAATCCATTTACAAGAGAGCTTTATACTAATTGAATCTTTCCGTGATGAAGAGGCACAGATGGTGCTAGAGGAAATGATGCTGGAACCTTGAAGTACAGTGTTGTTTGGTGGTTAACTCAAGCCTTCCATCTAATTAACCCTCCTTTGCTGATGAATATAAAGGACAATTGTGGGTTCAAACACACCGTCACAGGTGAACTCTTGTGCCCTGTAGATTATGACTGGAGTCAAGCTTTGTAAGTTTGTTTTATCATTTGTAGCTTTAGTGTGCTCACTAAGATAAAACCAGCATGGTAAAAAAAATATTTGTGAATGGCATCCCGGTTTTATTGTGAGTGCCGACTCATAGCCGACCTTTATGTATGACATGAACAAGTACATCTCCAAAGATCCCGATTGTGGACTTTTCCAGTTGCATTGGCTTATTAAAGGTGAATTAGTTGTGTTGAACAAAATGCTCATTTTAAAACAGGCTTTTGAATAAATATTCACGTCACTATCATCTGCGTGTGGAAAAAAAAACAAAGGTGCATCTTCCAACTTAATATTCCAACACAAATCTTCTCGGGCTACAAAAGGAGATGTTACATCTCTGCCAAGGATGAAACATGTCAAACCTTGTGCCATTGTGTATGTGGCTGTTCAGGTACAGGCACTTACTTTTCTGTTTTAACACCAACTAAGGCCTACTTCTAGTTTTGTTTTACTCTCTCAAGTGTCACATCTTGGTGTCAGTTTGACAGTGATTTCAATCTCAAGGAGTTTTATAATAATATCCTTGATTAGTTTGAGGGTCCTTGCAATGAGATCCACAAAGCACTAGTAGGTGACTTGCTTCTTTGGTGGGACCAGTACATTTCTCGCTTCTCCCCTATCATGTGCCTTACTGACTCATTCCCATAGAAAGGTCTTTGGCCAGGATCCAGAGATTACAGTTCCAAAGGAGATTTGTCAAAATCTGTCTGTTGCACACTTCAGTGTTCAGTGCAAGAATGATCTATAGCTAGTTACTACAAGTTATCAGGAAGTATTATTTTAATAATAATGTGTACTGTTGGTTTACAACTCCAGTTTAGATGCTTAAATAGAAGGATATTTTGTATATTTCATATGTACAGTCAGATACTAATGTGAAAGGAACCATGTTTTGCAGTTACTGGTATTATGTACCATTATAATGCCAAGTCTTTTAGGCAATATATATGGCTATTGCTTGTATGAAAGTACAGTTAAAAAACATCATTCTACAGAAGTATAATGTCTTTTCAAAGCCTACAAATTTGAGATATATGTTCAACCAAAACAAATCTTGCCACATGCGACAAGGCTTTTTATAGCAATGAGTTACTGGTATTATGTACCATCATTACACCAAGTTTTCTGTGGAATAAATATGGCCACTGCTTGCATAAAAGTACAGTTGCAAAACATCATTCTACAGAAGTACAATGTCTTTCCAAATTCTACAAATTTGGCATATATGCTCAATCAAAACAAATTTTGCTACATGTGACAAGGATTTTTATAACAATGAGTTACTGGTATTATGTACGATCATTGCACCAAATCTTTTGTGTAATAAATATGGCCACTGTTTGCATGAAAGTATAGCTACAAGTTATAATTCTAGAGAAGTATAATACCTTTTCAAAGTTTACAAATTTGACATATATATATTCAATCAAAACAAATCTTACCATGCATGATAATGTTTTTGATAGCAAGGAGCCACTGCTATTATATCTCATCATTATGCCCAGTCTCATATGTGATATATCTGGCCGTTATTCACATAGGTGTACAGCTGCAAGTTATTATTTTATAGAATTACAATGTCTTTTCATAACTTATAAGTTTAATTAGGGTGCTCATTTGAAGTAAATTGTTTTATGTGTCATATTAAAACGTAAAGCACAACATTATTGTGACTATATCTCTTGACTCTATAGTGTCTCCCTATCAAGCAGAATTGCTATTATCCTTGAGAAGACTGGCACTGAATGCGAGATGTTCTATGACTTTGTTGAATGCAGTAATAATCAGAAATCAGACATGTCATTGAAAAAAATTGCAAATTCTTTCAATATTGTAATTTATAAGCAACTTACTGTGAATTGTCAAGCTATTTGTGCTGTATATGAAGATACAATACATTGTAATTGTTGTTGCAATAATTGCATCTATTGTAGCAATTGCACTTATTACATGCTCAATCCATGATATTGTGGGAATATCCTTGGTTTGCTGATGATGGACATTCCACATAATAGTCTGGAGCACCCCATATTTACCCTTCCCATGTTTCAATTACACATAAATGAGGAATTCCCTATTGAGATATCTTAGGATAGCTCCCAGCACAAAATATTCACTGTTTATTGGGGAGAGAAGAAAATGCAATGATAGCACTAATCTAATTGACTTTAATTCAAAGTATATTCCTCAGATTGTATAATTAAGCAGTTGGCACAAGCAACCTTTATTTCTGTGTGCATGTTGATAAGTTTGATCTTTAGCTAGAAAGTTACTGATATACAGTATACCACAAAATATACCATTCCTATTGTTCACTTTGAAACATCATTTCCATACATCAGCTTATGAGCTTGAAAAGTAATCTTGTGCAAAAGTTGGGGTTACACATTATGCTATCCATCACATTTATATTCCCATCTCTCAACTTTGTTTCCACCGTATCATATAATCATAAGACTCTTCTCCATTTTTTAATATCTACAAATTTGGCACTAAACCTCAGTCTTCCATTAAAAAACTGAACCAATTTTATCCTTTTATGGTATTCTGACTTTATATTAGTATCTGACATAACATACATTCCACCAAAGTCATTTCTTGTAATTGAAGGGGGCAACTAACATTGTTGAACAAACCCAGCATGAGGTCTGGCCCACATTAACAACATTCAGATGATGATGCTAACCAACATTGCTCTTGATTTCAATTGATGCACCACCAAAACCAATGTGAAGGTTTGCAGATGTCATATAACAGATGTCAACTCTATATGATACATCAACACTTATCACAATGGATGCCCCACTGGTACCATAATAGAAATTCAAAGAGGACAGCCTACACACATTGCAATATAATACAGAATGGGATATCCCATATGGTGCCATGAGATGTCTCATAACAGTTTTTCACAAGAGACAATCTACATAAATGAGAATATCATTCAGAATGTCACTTGGCACAGCCCACACCTGGGGTCATCTAGGGGATATCCCACACTTGGGGATGTCCCAAACAGGGCTCTTAGCCACATAAAATTACAGAAGACATTCAAGCTAAGAGCCAGACACCTAGGGGTAACTGAAGTTATCAAATCATATTATCATCCTTTACCATTCTCTTTTTTTATTTCTTATCAGTTTATCAATGTAACACCACAGACTTTTTATACTACAATATGTGTTGATGTTTGTAAAGATTCAATAAATCATGTGCTTGAATCCAATATACTATGCACAAGTTTAGGGCAGGCTTATAAGAACATTTACTGACTGAACAGCAAATCAAACATGCATCATAGGATTTAAAGACTGAACACACTTTACAGACAGCATCACTGACTTAACACTTTGATCACTTAACAGTATTATTATTATTATTTATCATATAGCATATAGCAAAAACATTGCACCACAGTGGCAGAGCCTCGGGTTGGAACTTGTAGTCTAAAACAAAGGGGACAGTGGTCCCAGAAGTCACATGCAAACCATGTTGCACCAGTTATTTCACTTAGTGTCAATTGTATGATTTTTGTGGCTCCACAGGTGTGGAGGTGCTGTTGGACACAGTAGAACGAGGCAATCAGCCACAAAGAGCCTAGAAAGGAAGGCAAGTAAGTACAGGTTGCCCACATCGGGGGACCGGTGAGAGTTGGGACAAGCTTTATAAAGCCTTATAATAACAATAAAATATAAAATCATTATCAGCCAGACACACTTATTTGTAAGTTCTTACATGGCTAGATTAAGTAGGTCATTCTCGCCAACAGCGTAAGAATGATGGCTACTTACAATGCTTGTAACAATGATGTCTGATTCTAAGAACAATCAGTAGCTATATTTGTAGCTATAGATTATTGCTCGCTAGCATATGTGTCTGAGTTGTATAAATCACAAGGGCTCAAAATATGAGCATACCACTGATGCATAGGTACAAAATCTGCACTTGTATTTTACTAATTGCAACGGGCCTAGGAATGATATTACATGCTAACACAATACCATAGTTGTCCCACTGATGGGCATGAAATGTGTGCCATCTTGTATGATATTACAGGTCTGAATGGTTTAAGATTTGACTGAATGACGAAACAAAAGCCCTTTTATAATATAGAAAAAATACAAAAATGATGGTACAGGCAGTACATGACAGAACAACTCAAACTACACATTGTTGGCAACTTTCACTGTAGCACGCTTCTCTCAAATCCTAGCAAGAGCACTGAATTTTGCTGGCGCAACGAGGATGGGAAAATTTTTCTGTAGTGATGGTTAAGCACACTACAAACTAAGATGTATGGGGGACAGTCAAGAACATACTGATTCCACCAAGCAAGGAGGTCATTGTCCTCCTCAATCTCATTGGGATCTTGGAGAAGACCCAAGATGCTATTAAAGAACCCCTCGGAGTCAGTGATAGTGTCGGTACGAGAGAAAACCGATTGGGCTAATAATGCAAAATGAACCTGGCTTGAAGTCAGTAAGATGGGCACAGTAAAATACCTATAGCACTTACTTGTGTAGCTATGTATGCAATAGAACCACGTGTTACTTGGTGCATACCATGCAAGCGGGCATTTGAAGAGTGAGTGGCACGGGCCTCAGTGTTGGAATTGACAGATGATGGAGATAGAAATATGTGTTTATAAGCCTAGTAGACTGATGAGACATGTGGATAATGTTTATTTAGAATGTAATCACTCACCAAGACAAAAAGATTATTACGGAGCAAGCCCTTCCATGGGTCTGTACTGTCATAGTCAAGGCCAGCATAAAGAAACAAAGGCCATTGGTCACTTGTGACAAGTGTTTCACCACTCTGTAGTTTAGCTCAAACACTAACTAGTCAGCTAGCCTGACAAGTCTACATAATAAAATGGAACCACTCACTCTGAGGATGGCCAAAACCCTGAGTAGACTTGATGTTTTGATGAAGTGGAGGGTCCAAATTCTGAGCCTTTGGTGTAATCCAGTCAATGATTGAACCTTTGAGGGCCTTGGTGTCATCAGATCAAGCTCCAGAGCAGCCTTCCTGGATCTTCAAAAAATTTCAGGTAAAACATATAATATCGTCATGAGGCACTTACTAGTTTGCTTATAGCTTCAATGTCATCTTCTGAGATTGAAGCACTGGTAAGCTGATCCTTGAAGCCTGGAATCATGTTCAATAAAGTCTTGAAGACTTCATCTTCTCGACGCTCCCTGCAAAATTGATGTTTGGTGAAGAATAGTGGAAGATGGTAATACAAGCGCAAAAACTAAACTTACTTGATAGAAAGTTCCTCCACAGGTTAGTCTTTGCTCATTCAAAGAAGCCCATTAAGCAAGAGAGCTCGAATATTGGAGAATGGATGGACTACCCAACAGAAGTGTTGTCTATAACTTGTGCTTGGGCTACAAACATGGCTAAACAAGGCAATGACTGTAACAGTTGATCAGTATCTTGTCAATGTTAGACTCAGAGCCTCAAGACTTATGGACGCTTGCGAGAGCTATCTTTTAGAGCATTATTGTGGACATGCTGAATTTGTGGATAAAAGCCTGATCCTACATTATCATCTGGCTCAGTTGTTATCTGTGACATGTGTAATGAGATTGATAGCAGTGGTGTGTGGTCCAACTCTATCACTTTGATCTTGATGATCTTATTTATAGCTGAATCATCCTACAGCTAGGTCCAACCTTTACTACGAGCTCAGATCATCATGGTCTGCTGATATGCGCCAGTTTACTGGTCTGTCAGGGACAGACCAAAAAAGACTAGCTATTTGCTGCTAAAGCGAGGTATGTTGTAAAATCTTTCATCATTCTCTATTTCTCCATTACAGATTTAAACGGTCTGGTGGGTTACTGACTAATTAGTACAGGTCGCTGCCAGCACAAAAATTTTGGATGTACAGTAAATATGCAGAAGGAGGCCCCACGTCACACTGTCCAAGTTATTCAGGTTAGTGTGTTCTCCATACTCTCTTTATAGCGTATTTCCTATTATTCCCACCAGCTGAAATAGTCCCATCCTGTGAATCATTCCAAAGTCTGTAAGGATAACAGACAATCTGTGAGAGGTACAGGAACAAGTATGTGTTGAAGTACAGGTATGTAACAAAGCATTGTGTAGGTACTAATACATTTATTCATTGAGAAACATTTCAGGCTGATGAACCACATCTTTGCAGCCGCCCATTTTGTTGTTGCCGTTGCTTCCCTTCTCAAACAATTAGTATCAGGTAAGCTAACAAATGTTTTCTCATACCTGTAACATCTCCTGACCTCTTTGACTTTGCCATTTTCTTTCTTTTTTTCCTCTCAATAGTTTGTTTTACTCCTATGTGGACCTCTTCTTGCAAATCTAGGAATGCATGGCTTGTGACTACAGTCTCTTCAGTGAAATCAAATGCAGTGTACAGGCACATTAGGCCATGTAATAAAAGTGCAGCTGCCTCATGGGCAGCCTACCATGATAACTGGTCAGCTTTCATCATCCAAAACTGAACATTGAATGTATGCTTACTTGTGCGTCAGTGTCAACTGGGGTGGCTGGCTCGGTTGTAACAACTGACATAGCATCTTCAAGTTCACAATATGTGCTAATTGTGGTAGAAGCTTGAGTATGATCCATGTTATTGAAAAGGAGGCTGTGGGGTTTTTTCAAGTGTGAAGTCTATTTGTTTCAGTTTTCCGTTACTTATAGCATATTAATGTAGGGTTGATTGCTTATTTTGGATAATTGTGGAGACGTTCCTGAGCTGATTGTTTATAGTCCTGGTTGTGGATATACTGTAAGTAAACCCTTGGCTCTGCTCTCCGGATCATGTTCTCTTATTTACATTACTATTTCTCAAGTTCTCCGGAGTCCCATGGTCATGATGCATGGTGCACAGTGTTCACCCCCAATGTGCAGACTTGAACTATGGATCACACAACAGGCTATCATTTTATTTGCCAATGGACATTCAACAAACCTGGGCCATTCTCTCTACACCAGAAGATGTGTAGAAGATGCAAGCAAGAAGTCTCCAGTCTACTCAGTAGAGTGCATACTATTTTGCGTAAAAAAAGTGTTGTGTTCAAGAAGTGGTACAGTCATTAAATATACAGCATGATGATGCTGAAACCATTCCCCCCATTCATGATGTGAGACTCATTTTTTTCTGACTTCTTATTCTGACCGATAGACAATAGGATATTAATCTTGTAAATAATGATTTCCCCCTTTTACTCTGTCACACACAATGGACCAATTGTTGGCTGCCCAAGCAATTCCGAGACATTGTTCCACAAACATATGCACCTTTACCACCACCTTCCGAGTCACCTTATATCTACTTGAATGCCACAGTCACGTCTTCTACATATCACAATTCCAATCACAATCAAATATCATCACAAGCCTTTCGTTCAATGAAAAATATCTTTGGCTTCGTATGAGAATACCACTATGGCCTTCCATCACATGATCCAGATAATCTTCTGTCGTTACAAGATCTATGTACACCCAACAATAACACCAAAACTTCTCAATCCAACAATAACAATGGAAACCTTCATAATCCATATTATCCTTACCCAAACAAGAGTTCATTCCTTCTCGGAGACTGGTATTGGAACAATGGGAATCAGATATCACAAGAAAACTTCAAAAAACTCTGTGATATAATTACTGCACCAGAGTTTTTGCCAACAGATATAGGATAGGCTAGTTGGAAAACAATCAATCACACACTAGCTGGTGAGGACATAAGCGGAGACTCAGAGCAAAAAAGTGAATGGAGAAGTACATCTGTGACATTCTCAGTACCTTTCCACAGAAGAATGCAGGTTCCAGGTGCCCAGGACTTTACAACAGCAGATTTCCAATACTGTCCCATCCTGTCAGTTGTTCAAGAGTTACTTTCCAACCCAAATAGTTTGCAGTTCCATTTTGTCCCCTACAATTTAAAGTGGAAACCAGAAGGTAGAGAGGAAACAAAAATATATGGGGAGCTTCATATGTCACCGGCATTCATTTAGGCCCATCAAGAAATCCAGGAGTTACCAGGGGAGCCTGGTTGTGAGTTGGAGTGTTGCATCCTTGCCTTGATGTTCTGGTCAGACGCAACTCAGCTGACAGCATTCTCAACCATAAAAGTATGGCCATTGTATATGTTCCTTGGGAATGAATCAAAGTATCAGCAAAGTAGACCCCACAGTTACTTGTGCCACAATATTGCATATTTTAAAGTGGTGAGTCCTAACTACACCGTTACTCAATTGTTACTCATCATTTATTTTTCAAAGCTGCCAGACTCATTTAAAGACTTCACAACGGGTTTTGCAGGTCAAAAAGGCACCAACTCAAATTTTTTTTCCCACTGTAATTGTGAATTCACACATGCGCAGTGGGATATACTCCTAGACAACGACATAATTGAAGCCTGCAAACATGGTATTATAGTTGAATGTTTTGACAGGATCCAACATCGGTTTTATATCCAATTTTTCACATACAGTGCCAACTATCCTGAGAAGTAACTATCAGCCTCTCCATCATGGTCATTTGCTTTACTGACTCTAAGTTTATTCAGAATTTTACTTTTGTGTTTGCGCAACCTAGGTCAATGCCCATGTCCCCGGTGCTTGATTCTGATGAGCCAGATATCGAACATAGGAACACCTCAAGATAGGAAGCTACAAGAAACACAGGCTCGTGTCAACAACACTACATATCTAGCAAAGATATTATCAGCCCGGAAACTGATTTATAAGGACAATTATGCTGTCAATAACACAGCAGTCGAAAGGCTTCTCAAGCCACACTCTTTGGTACCAACAACAGTAAGTCTGAACTGTTGTAGTTGTATTATTATACTGAGGATTCTGTCAGAGTGCACTTTCAGCAAAACTTTCACCTTTCAACATCAACATATTTTCGCTATTCCCTGTAAATATTCTACATGAAACTGAACTGGGAGTTTGGAAAGTGATCTACATGCACATTATGCACATACTGCACTGCCAGGGTCAAGCATTAATTAATGAGTTTGATAGATTCTTCTGTCTCATTCCAGAAAGCTTTTCATTGATTATCATTCTAGTTTCAGGAATGTTCCATCATTTGGACGAGACACAATCAGGAAATTCCTCTACTAATTCATCAGAGATGAAGAGGACGGCCGCTTGAGATTATGGGGACCTCCTTCAGGTGCGTCCACATCCATATTTGCCAGATCAACATTCTTATGTTATTACTTTAGTGTATGATTCCAGTATTCGATCCTACCAGAGCCTCACAATCAAGACATACTTGACTTCATATTTGTTGTAGCCCAATGCCATGTGCTGGCAAAGCCTTGAATGCACATGGACCAAACCCTTGACCTTCTTGATCATTCAACAGTTGTATTTGGGCAGCTGCTTTGCAGATTTCATAACAAGACCTGCACTGCATTCCATACAAAGGAACTTCCTCACAAAGCAGAGGCTCGTAAATGACAACGTCCGACAACTCAAAAAGTTCAATATGAATACATACAAAATACATGCAATGGGTGATTATGTATGAACTATTAGAATGCTAGGCACTACTGACTCGTATACAACCCAAATCATGAGTTTGAGTGTTTTGTTTTGTTTTTGAAGCTCACATATGTCTCATAGGGCAAGCTTGCACATTGTACATCAGAGACTTCATATACTCAAACCAGCAAAAAGGGATTTGTCAAACAGAAAGCTAACATTGACCAAAGATAAACTCAAATTCGGGGGATTCAAGATAGACTATCTATTCTTCCAAAGTCAGCTCAGCTCAAATCTGATGGTGTTGCATTGTCACCCAATGTCTACCATATTATCAGAGTCACATAAAATAACCCAATTAATATAGGTTTATTCTTGCATACTACATACTAGATTTGGTGATCTAGCCTTGAAGGGGAGTTAAGTTGTTGCATGATTACTACTCTGGCTAATATTGTGTTGTTTTGTCTAGAACTTTGTCATAAAGTTTCAGAGCCATCTATTGCCAAGAGTGCAAGCCCTGGCATTGTTGGAGTACATGACACCTAATCTACATCACACCAGTGATTTTTCTACCAACCCAAGCCTTTTGATGAATTTGGAGTGGGATCCAGCTCAAATCATCTTCAATGATGGTCATATATATCAACACCACATTCTTCAAGTTAATTATACTTCTTATGATGTCCAACGTACTCAAGACATCATCCATCTGAATACATCAAGCAACCATATCATGGTCTTTGCGAGCTCTGATGATCCTTCAGGAGTTTGTGTCTGGTATGCAAAGGTATTGGGTATCTATCATTCCAACGTTATATATGTAGGACCAGGAATGGTCAACTATCAAGCTCATCGCATATACTTTGTGTGGGTCAGATGGTACCAATGTTTCAAACCCACAGAAGCAACCAATGCATTAGAGGAACTTTCATTTTTACCAATTGATGACAACAACACTTTCGGATTTATTGACCCAGAAGATATCCTTTGAGGCTGTCATATAATTCCGAGGTTTTCAAAAGGAAAAGCTCACCCTGATGGGATCAGTTTGTCGCTATCTGCAAGAGACTCACAAGACTACAAATTTTATTATGTTAATCAGTGCGCATTCTATTTACATTGCTTTTTGCAATTGACACACTTTCTTGTGTCCCGTATATAGGTTTGCTGACCGCAATATCTTTATGCGCTATCACTGGGGCTTTGCCCCTGGACATGTCTATACCAGAGACTCACAAATGCTCACCAAAAAACAGCCAAATCCAACAGCAGCACCTGTGATGAACAATGACCCAGCTGATATAATATTGATGGTTGAGCCTGAAGAAACACCTCCATGTCAACCTATAGACCTGGACAACATCAGCCTCAGTGGTTCGGATGTGGATGAGGTGGAAGAGGGCCCATACAACTCCGATGTTTTAGACTTCATGGAGAGTTCTGGGGATAGTTCCAAGTCAGACTTGGACATTATTGATGCAGATGAGATTGAGTTGGATAGGATTGAAGATTACATTGATATGTACAGTGACGACTTGGCACAAGACTACGGACACTTTGACTAGTACCCCATCAGATTTTTACACTTTTTTTTGACGTGCTTTTATGCTCACTGCAGTTTGGTCTGGAACTCTGGTTAGGAAGATATGTTCTTACAAGTTGTTATACTCAGTTGGGCTCAGCCAGTTGTTCGATATCAGACAGGCTGTTCAATATGGGATAAAGATGTACTGACACGAAATCACAATTAACCATTGGTTTGGCGTAATTCTTGAGACTGAAGGTAAAACTAGATAAAGCCTGATGATCAGGCAGCAGTCATCAGTCTGGTTATAAACTCCGACTGGTTTTACCAGCGTCCCCCCGGTCCCCCGATGCATGCACCACTATATACCATCATAAAACTTTTGATTCCTTTTTCCCTACCTAGTTATAAAGATGGCCTGGTTGCCATGTAACACCTCAGACTCTACTGCAAGTTCTGAGGTGAGATCCCTCCTCTCCACTTTCAAATACCTGACTAATCCCTAGTATAGACATCTTACCTTACTAGGTACTTACTTTGAATATAGCTCAGACTCTACTGTGAGTTCTGAGACATCTTATCTTACTAGATTAAATCTGAGATACTTGAGGTGCTGCAGGCACCTGACAGTTGCAGCAAAGCTGCAATGAGTGCAACTTGTTTTCCATACTTTTCTATACATCCACATGTGCCGTTGCGTGGGATGTTGGTTATTGCTGGTAGTGGGGGGAGGCAATGCCAGTCAGAAAAGTGTGAGCTTATGTAATCAGAATGTGTGCACCTGAGGTAGCAAATTCACTATGCCATTGTACATTCTCTCCCGACGCTTGAATTCAAGCTCACATCTCATTGAGGGACTACAAAAGCAACCTGGTAAACTACAATTAATAACAGAGCTGATGTACTAGCTAGTTTGAATGAATGCTCTCTTTGATTACCTTGCACACAACGCGAGTACACGGGCAAGCCTTTCCAGAATTATAATGCTTGACGGCGGCCTCCAATGCCTTCACCTTCCCAGCCTTCAGTATGCCATATTTCACTGTTTGGTGGCACCTTTGGATCAAAACATCGGTGCCATTGTAACTGCAGCGTGATTTTTGCAACAGTCATCTTTGGTATAGCTGCAACTTCAAGTCAAGGCACAACTGCAGCAACTTTGGCATCAGCTGCGTCCTTTTTTGCCTGCTTGCATCTGTCCTTTTTGTGCTTCTTTGCGACTACCAGTTAATCATATGATGCCTGTGCGAGGTGCCGCTTCTTCTGATGACCACTGGAACCCTTCTTGTGAGCTCTTTTCTGAAGGAGTTTTTGATCCACCAAGGAATGAAGAATATTTTTGATATACAAGCCAGTATTGTTTCTTTTGTATTGAAGCCTCACATTGAATTGATCAATTGTCATTCTTGGTGCTCATCTGGCGGATATATGGAATGTCCCCAGTGTTCCCTCATTATCATTGTTTGTAGTTTTCATTCACGCTTGCTCACATTGTGCATTGGTTGCTCAGTCTATGGCCCCACCTGCAGCAAACTCACTGTAAAACCGCTCCCATGTGTCCTTGGCACCGTGGAAGAACTCCACCAGCAGTCCTCAAATGTGCGGAAGTGTCAGGATCAGCCTCTGGACAGCATAGAACACCTTTGGACGCTCAAATGGCTGGCCGTCAAGGGTTGCAGTTTGATATCTTGCATCAGGTGCCAAAACAAGGTCAGGATCAGCAACAATTGCTGTGCAATGGGCAATCACTTTGATGAGAAGAGGTCCCAGATCCAAAACAATGGTATGTTCTCCTGTTGGACCTCTCACTTGTTGCATGAAAGGAATAGTGATTATCTGGGAGTAGATTGCAAGGGGACACATCTTGGAGTTCGTCTCTGGGTCAAGTAATCCAGTGAGAACATTCTTCTTGATGTTTGTGAGGGTACATTTTTCCTTCTTGTCCTTGACGACCCCTAGGAAGCTAATAAGGAGTTGATGATGAATGATCCAAACAGTAGCCACATCACCATATCTCTGGTATTGAGTGTTGCTTGTATCTGGCCATCGAAAGGTATAGCCAAGTTTGGCCTTGTTCAAAAGCTTTGCAGGCCCTGGTAGGCCGTGTTTCTTCTAGTATCCTGATATTCTGGTGTATCCTCCTTTGAAGGCATTGAGCTCCTCGTGCATGAAGCATCCTGCCCACACGGAAAATGTTGCAGCATCCTTCTCGATGTCCGACAGCCCATCAAACTCCTCCTGGCCAATTTTGATATGTATTGCACAAAGTGCCATGGATAAATGGACTTCCCTTTCCCTGTTTGATAATCCATGCCATACTTCCAGCCCCCCTGCTGCTGAGATTGTTTCCCAGGTTGCTTTGGCAACTGATGGTGCGTGATGCTTTTCCTGTTCCATCAGCGTGTTCGATAAAGCTAACTGAAAGTCATTTATTGCCATCAATGAACGGGCCTCCCTTTCATCACCCGATAAACACCTCCAGCTCTCTACACCTCCTGCATTGAACATGGTGTGCTCGGCCAGCTCGTCAAGCAAGGCTTTGTACTTCTCGTGTGCCAGGCTTGACAGTGCCTTCTCTCCTCAGGTCTCTTGGTTGGCTTGACTTTGTACATCCAGTAACAGACGCACAAACTTCTTTTGATCTTCAGCATGGTCCATGGATACACCTTTGACTGCAAGATAGAATTCTCGGGGGTCTGCCTGGTATTCTTTTGCCCTCGAGGACACATTGTAGGTCCTGTACATCTCCAGTATGAGTTCCCACCATCCCTCCAGCTGAGTCTCACTTGTATGATTGATAGCGGAGTGGACACCAATTGCACAATTGACTTTCTCACCACTTGACGTGGTAAACATGATATGGCGGGACTCATAATTCACATATTTGTGAGTTGTACCATCTCCGCTCAGTGTAATGCCTATCAAAGCTGATTCAGTCTATTTTTAGGCAATTGCAACATTGATATTGTACCTTTGGACCCAACAATCTCATCCACTGCCTGTATATTGGCCGCTTCACCTCCTTCTAATGCAATTTGTCCTATACTGCGCTTACTTGCTCTCCCCTTGACAGTCACACCCACGGCAGCTGTAACCATGGACACTACTCCTCCTGCATGGGCAGCCGGCACATTGTGGAAGGCCACAAGGTCTCTCAGCATTCCCCTAGCTGTTTCGGTGATGTTTCCCTTCTCCTTCATCATGAATGTGCCCAGGCCTGTTGCTTTGACCTTTTCAATAGCCTTCTCTGATGCTCTCTGGACTGCATGTGCCTTTTCCTTCAGAGCTCGTGCAACCCACATTACAAGTGCATGGTTCTGTTTTGACAATGCTACATTGTGTTATTGTGCATGCTGTAATACTGTCTTTATTATGGTAAGTTCCTGCTGTGTTGCCGTATGAGTTGTAGCTTCTTCAATGTGCATAGATCTAACCTGCTGCAACTGCTGCCAAAGATCATCAACAGAACTTTGAGCTTGTTTCGATTTTCAGCACTTGTTATGGTACTTCTTCTCGTCAGTAAACGCCTGTATGGTCTGAAGTTGGAGATTGAGCTGATGGTTATTTTGGGAAGCAGGGCTGGGCCTTGATATGGTGCTGGAAGTATTAAAGGTATTATCTTCCTTGTTCAAGCGGTTGCGACTATGCAAGAGTGCAAGTTGATATTTTTGTCCTCTGGTGTGCTTTTTAGAGGGTTTCCATCGGTCCTGATAGTGAATGAGGGCCATGCACCACAGATGCAGTGCCTTGTTGACTCGTCGACCCAACCCAACGCAGGCTGGTATGCTTACATAACAACTAATATACATGCTCAACAGCCTCCTCCATTCCCCCAGCTACAATGTAGCCATTTGGGCATGTCGACATGTGCGTTTGATGAGAGTTGAATGAGTAAATGTAGTGTCAATGAGAAAACTTTGAGATTATATCATCCAACCTCACTGGATGGCATCTTTTCATGCAAGACATGAGCTTTTTAGAAAATTGTTGTGGAGATTACATGCAGGTATCAAATTCCTACCAATGTCTCTATACAAAGTTGACGCTATTTACGCGTCCTACATGGATATGCTTGGTGGTCACACATTTCAGTCACACAGCAAGCATTACCAACTTTTGTCATACTCATAATTAATGGAAAAGTCTGAAAGTAGCTGAAATATTTGATTGCATTTTAGACCTACAAAATGATGTCTTTTTGTTGACATATTCCCATAAATACTATATTTTTGTGTGGATATGTAGAAATATGCTAACAAAAATACATTATTCTGATAAAGTCTTGTAGGTCCAAAATGCAATTAAACATTTTAACTACTTTCAGACTTTTTCATTGATTTTGGGTGTGACAAAAGTTGGTTATGCTTGCTGTGTCACTTCCCCTACATGCTTTCTCACCAGCGGAGTTTTAAATTGGCGTAGCATTGCCTATCCCCACTTGTAGTGTGGCACCAGGCGCCACTACAATCTTGTATGGCGCTCCAAGTGCACTTTTAATGTGGCGCAATAGAAACTCTGAATTGCGCGGTACACAGACCTAACTAATCAAATAGTATATACATGTGCTCGCAGTACGACATTGAAACAACGCCATATATACAGACAGATGAGTCACACACATTCTGAGGCAAAAGCTCAACATTAGTTCACCCAACTTGACCAACAAAAATATTATTGCAAGATGTTAAGTAAGGACTGTCTGCTACGAGCAAGGAACTTTCCATTGGTGAGTTCATTATTTATATTTTCTTTTCGAGCATCTAGCAACTCACTAATTATATTTCTTCTTACAGGACTAGAGTAATTACTTGTGACATTAGTGCTAAATATCCTGTTCCTTGCTTTTAACCTGAATGGTTATTTTGATAACTGTAAGTAAATAAACAAAAGTACTGCACATATATTTTTTAATACATATCAAACCGCTACACAGGTCTCTTAGGGGCCACTGTCCTGGTCCTGGTGCTCCCTATCCTGGGTTGACCTTGAGCATTTGGAGAGGACACTAGTGTATGTACCGTTTCCTGTGCTCATTGCATGGCCCTAACTCTGAAGCTAACCAGTAAGTCACACTTTTTTCTTTCGTTTTGTTATACTGGTACTTCAGAATACATAGTCATATTTTATTTGTACCACCATGGTCCAAGTCAGTGGTTACTTGTAGATCTTTGTATCATTGTATCATTGTAGTTTAAATTGATATCATATTATCACTGATTGGCACAACCCGACCTCGTGACATAGCATTTGAAACCCCGACGGAATCCTGACCTTCGGTTTTAGTACTGCATTCATGTATACTGCAAAGTTTGAAAATATGCCAGGCTCAATCAGTTTCTCGAACTCTGTAAAGGATAGTATGGTACATTTCTCTCACTTTCACTCTCACTCTCACTCTCTCAACCATTTTCTTGAATATAATAGCTCCCTGAAGGGCCAGGTGACCATTGTCATCGCCATCCAATATACTATTTTGATGAAGGCTCGTTCATTTTCCAGGTATTCACATTTTTGCTACTACCATTTGCTACAATTTTGCTCTAATTTACTTTGCTTGTTTTAGGTTAAAAATGTGCTGTACAAGCTTCACCGCAATATTCTATCAACAGCTTCAAAAACGCTCAAAGACATATTTTCAGCCTCTGCAAATGCCCACCTAATTGCTACAGATGGGTCAAGTGATGACCACCCGATTGTCCTTCCTACTGTCACGACATTGGCATTTGAAGCATTACTTTCACTGTGCTATGGCAGGTGAGTCCCAGTAATCTGTCATCTGAGCCTAGTTCTCTAGTGGCTCTTTTTTATCCATAGATGGTCAAGCCCCAGTGGTATGTCTGATGTGGAAGCCACTGCACTGCTTTGTGGCAGGCTGTCTGACAGTTGACAATACAAATAATATTCATTTCAATCCGCCATCTGATTCCCCCAATGAACCTGACTCCCCCATTCAACTCGAGCAAACACATCAAATGAAAGCCAGGCTAGAAGGCCAGGATCTAGTCCAAAAAGTAGTCAACATACTCTCTTTCTTGATGCTCTTAGTTGGGGAAATCCTGCATGCCAACCAGGTTTTCATAGTACATGATCAACAGACATTTTTGGCTACGTGCATAGTCACATGACTAGACCTACCCCCTTCTGCACCAAATGCACCAGACGTTATAGAGCATTGTTGCGCGAGCAAACCTTACCACTTTTTTGCCTCAGATTTAAACTCCGCTCGCAGGCACTAGATATCTCGCGCACATGCTCTATATTGTCTGGGGTAACGAGACTAGGCGCTGGCAGACTTGACTGATTTCACTGATGGCAGACGTAGTAGTGCCGACCTCTTCGTCTTGCCTTCAAACTTCGCACATTTTCATTATGGAACGCAAGGCCGCATACGTAACTCTCCTCACTAAATCATCTTATTTGCCAGGTGTGCTCGTCCTCGAGTTTACCCTCCGGGCAGTCGGTTCTCGTTACCCACTGGTAGTGATGGTCACTCCCCAATTACCAGCTGAAGCTCGGGCTGTCCTCGCCAGGAAAAACATAACAACGACGGAAGTAGCATCATTGGGACCCCCCGAAGGGGTACATACACTCTCACTCAGTGATGTTAGGTTCTCTGATACTTGGACCAAGCTCAGGTAGTTTATCACCTTTCGAAAGAAGATACTATAACAGATACCAACTAGTTCTTTTTAGGTGTTTCGGCTTGACTGAATATCACGTATGTATTCGGGAGGCTCACGTTCTGAGATTATCTGATGCAAAAGCCCTTCAGCGGGTAATCCTTCTCGATGCCGATATGCTTGTCTTGCGTAGAATGGATGAACTCATGGACCTTGAGCTTGAGAAGGATTGGATAGCTGCAACTCATGTATGCGCATGTAATCCTCGCCGATATCCTCATTACCCCGCGGATTGGTAGGTCCTGTATAAACCTTGACATACTTAGCATCTTATGGAAAGAATTAGGATACCTGCCAATTGTGCTTATACACATCTTGAACACCCAATCGGCCTCACTTCGCCCTCGGCAATAACAGACTCTAGTCCTCGACCTTATAGTCAGCTTAATTCCGGCTTAGTAGTGCTCAACCCATCACTGCATCTTTTTGAATCTATTCAACGACATCTATGCACATCACCACTTGTAGCTACTTGGTCATTTCCTGATCAAGATCTTCTGTCAGATCTTTTTAGAGGGAAGTGGAAGCCCCTTCCATGGTGTTACAACGCGCTCAAGACCTTGATGCTTATCCATACGCCTTTGTGGCGTGACGATGAAATACGATGTCTTCATTACATATTACCCGACAAACCGTGGCAGAAAAGGGTGGGGGTCACGGATTCAGGCGAGTACGATAAAACTCATCAATGGTGGTGGGATAATTTCGAGCTGGTTGAAAAAGAAGTGCGAGCTATGGATGAAAAAGGATTGGAAATAATACTATCAAATGTTGCAAGTCTTTAATACTAGTATTCAATAACGGTCCTCTAGTCTCCCTTGCTTACCTAATTCAATATATGCGATATGATTTTTATCTTCAATAATCACTGCAGAAACCAGTTTTTAACCGGCTATGGATAATGTCTAGATACCCGAGTAAAACAGATAGTGACTGGAATCAGACAACGGACATGGGGAAGTCGGGATATAAGATGGAAAGCCGCACTTTTTCGAATCTAACTAGAATCCATTTTGTCCTAACACTTGTAATGGTTTGATGATAGAATTTGAATGATTATTTCTACTTAAGAAGTACAGTTGGAAGCAAATCAAAGTAAAATGAAGGCCAATTAAAGTATGAATTAGGCACTAATTAAGATGTGAATAGCGTACAGATAGACAGAAAAGAAAACCGCTAGGAATCCCCCTCCTCAGCCTGTAATAAATCTAAGTGAAACTCAGCCGCTGCCCAAGAGGCTATAGAAACAACTGAGGTATTCCTATACTAAACACCCTACTACTTATAGTCAGAGGTGCTACTTGCTACAGTATAATGACTCCTAGGAGAACAATGGTGACTCCATGGAGTGGTGGCTATGCTCCATGGAGAACAATGGCTGCTTTAGCAGAGACTGGGTTTATCCGGTTTTGTCACCTAGTACATAAAAATGTCCTCAGGTAGTTTTCTCCTCCTCAACTCTCCACTATGTACCCATTAAATGTGCATTCAATGCACACCAGCCCACTACAACAGCCGGGTGAACTATCACCTCTCACTTCCCAGCCCCACGACAACCCCTTTTCAAGTGAACTCAGCTTCACGTCGATGACAAACCATGGCCAAGGTACTCGAGCAAGTTCCCAGCGTGCAATGCTACCCAACTTGCAGGGCTTTCCTGCTAGTGGCGACCAGAATCGTTCCTCGCTCCTTTTTGCAGATAGCTCTCAAGACCCAGGCACATACATGTGAGTTTATAGCACTCCAAATGAAGCCATTACTCACCAATCAATCCTCAAAGGGAAAATGCAACCTCCTCCCCAACCCTCAGTATGCAATCAAATGCCTTGGCATATGCATAGTATTCGAACCACGTACCTCAACATAGTCCGATGGGTTATCACAACAACTCCATCTGTAATGAATTATCTGATTGAGCAATCCAAGGCCTGCAAAACACACTCCAGCTTCTTGTCCAGGAAATGCAGATGTTACACAGTCATGTCAGGGCTCTCGAATATACTAATCAAACATTACTTGCGAGCCAACAAGCACTCACTTCAGGTCTTCAAACCGCCAATGAAAAACTTCAAAATCTTGAGACGACCCTCCACGAACTTGTTGCCATGAAACCAAAAATGGCTGATAGTTCCTTGAAAAATGTTTCAAATCAGCACCCCAAGTTAAAAGTAAGTTGCTTACCACCAAGATCCACTGTTGTTGACACTACAACAGGCAATGATCCATCCACTATTCTTTGACCTATGTGGGGTGGAGAAGACGGCTAAACAAGACGAAAGGATACAAACATTAATTGACAACCTTGAGCCCTATCCTGACGATGCACCTGTTATGAAGATTGACCATACAGTCAATGTCTGCTTTGTGAATAAAATTGTTGATTGTGTCTGGGATAATGAAACAGTAAGGTCAAATAGCACTACAAAAGACCAGGCCAAATAACACTTACTCAGGCATTACAGACCATTCTAGGAGGCAAGCCAGAGCTTGTAGATGCTGACTACAACAAAGATGTCATTATCAAGATGACAAAATTGTACTGGCGCAACTTACAGTCCCAAGTAAAGGCACGCGCTGACTTGCTAAGGTTTGAAAAACTGCAAGATAAGCAGCAAAACTCTCGGCAATGTGCAAGGCGTTCATTGGTACATTACCTTAATATAGATAGCATGCTGCTAAAACTTGATGCCAGGTTGCCAATTGTCAACATGAAGCCATCCCAGTGTTTGAAGCCAAGTATAATGTGGCAGATGCTGTGGCAATGATTGACACCAACTTTGGCTCTGACTATATCTCCTTTAACAACTCTGATTTAAGTGATGCCTCAAGGAAATGTCGTAAAGATCAAGACATTCCAGCTAATGGCTGGATGAAAATTGGGCTCTGTTGGCGCTTACTAGATGTAAGTTACTTTTTATTTAATCAAAGCACTCACTGATGATGAGTACAGTATATTGTTTTCCTTGTGGAACTGGATTCAATTGTCAAAGGGCTACATAGCACAGCAATAGAAACCAATGATCCTAGCACTGCACCCCCACCAAAACAACGCAAGACAACTAAGAAAAGGGATACAGCTACAAAGAGGTTTACCACTCACCCCTCAAAAATGGTCAATAAACCACCGCAATCAGGAAAAGCGCAGCCAACAAAACCATTCAGATCAATAGTTCAAAAGGCCTGGCTTAATGCCAATCCGTCAGTTGAAGTCCTTGAGAGTATGGCCTGGTTGCAAGATTGTCATACTCGTGCGAAGCAAGGGGAGTTAGTAGCTAAGGATAGGGAGTATCTCAGGGAACTGGCAGAGTATTTGGCTGAGAACGATGGTGATAATGATGTAAATTTGTAGTATGAAGATAAAAAGGGAGTAAAAATATTATTGAAATGTTAACAGAAGATGAAAAGAGGAAAACAATGAGCATCTACCAAAAAAAATGAAGGAAAACGATAAGCATCAGCCGGAAAAGAAGAATAATAAAGCTTTAGCATACAAACAATCACTGCTGGCCAAAACCAAGCTGAGTCACTTATCATTCAGCAAAAAAAAAGATGCACCTTTGCCAAGTCAATTGTGGCCCATACTTTCTTCTGGTCAGGCCCAATTGTGACTGTCTTGAGAGCAATGTGTCCCTTAATCCAGTTAGGGGAAATGAGGGGGGGCAACTGCATATCTGGTCCCATATATTCCTCAAGCTCCCAAAGTCAAACACCAACAGCTGCACTACCAAACACAAAGTCAACGAATACTATTAAAATATGAATGAACTTACAACTTATCCCATATATCTGTTACGATAACACATTTTTGGACCTTTAATTTTCATTCTCCTCCTTAACCTTTTACTGTAGTTTTCACACTTCGTGCCATGTGGCACTTTCCCTTTTGTTCAAACTCCACTTTCTTGTGCTGTGCTGCCTTTCTTTCTATTTTAGATACAAGTCTCTCACGCAGTGGAGCTGGTCACATGGACTGCGCCCTCTGATATCATCAGCCACTGCCTTCATTAACTGTATAGTATATACGTACAAACAAACCTGTAGTAGTATAAATACCCCAATAGATCAAGGAGACTCCTCAGCGAGTCCTCCTGTTGTATCCTCACAACTAACTTGTTGAAGTCTAAAGGGTAACCACTCCCTCATCATCATCTCTATAGTTGGTTCCAGTTGTGCGCCAGAGTAACTAACTCTTGGTTGTTACAATATCATCATGTTCACCCTCCCAGTGCTTGAACCATTGCATACAAGCAAAGCACATTGAGTCTCCTATGCATTGAATGTCTTGCTCAAACTTGAAGACTTCTAAGACTTCGCCATATGCATCAAGAATACCTTCAACAGAAGACTGCTCAATAGAAACATGAACTAACAATGAACCAATAGACCCTGTTGTGTGAGAAGCATTATAGCGCTTGCGATTAATCACAACATAATCATAAAAAGTTGCTTTGCAGTTTAGAGGTAAACTGTTGGTGACTAATGGACATTGAGAGCGGCAGTGAACAGGTGTAGTTGGCAACCACATGCAGATTGTTCATGCAAGGAGTTGGTAGGTTTCACTTGACATGGTCATAAAATGGCGACGAGGGCTGAAGGCATTAATAACACCAGCTATATATTGTTGTCAGCTATCAATTAACAAGGTTTATATGTACATACCATCTGTGTGAGCTTCATCTAGCTCTTTTGATAGTGCTGCAAGTGCAGCAACAGTTCCATGTTCTTCTGTTGTTGTTTTGAGCATGATCTCAGCTGCCTCACATGGTAAAGACTCCCTTGGCATTTGCAAGAGTGAATATGTCTGTAGATATCAGTGATATCAGTAGAAATTTAGACCAAGAAAAAAAGACTTACAAGTCAACTTGACTGGCACATAAGGTGAAACTCATTGAAGAACATTGTCTCCAACTCTCCATTTGCATGATTGTTTGTCTTGAATGATTTGAGGACCTTATTGAGACGCTCAAATAGAAATGTCCAGAAGTTGTGCAAAGGGCCAAAGCTTCGAGTATAGTTAGCAACATGAGTTGCTTAATGATGATTTGGCTTGATACAACTTGACCCGTACAGCTAAAATGAAATAAAATATAAATTAACAGCTATGTCATTAAAAAGGATCAGACATTCCATGATAAGCTCTGTACAATACTCTCTAATCAGCGTGTCAGCCTTGTTAATAGCCTCATCTGTCAGAAAATTCTTGACTAGGATACAAAGAGCGCTTGAGAGCTTGAGAAAATTAGCTGGATTGTCCGGGTAAAGTGAGAACTTAGCATCAGTATCATCTTCCATGTTCTCGTGAGCCATGTTTGATAAGAAGGTGTTACACGCCGCACGAGGTAGGTGTCATTGCAGGTGGAGCCAAGTTGCTAGTGCATATACTGTGAGGAGATGAGGAGGTTGAGTGCTCAGATCAGAGCGACCATCAAGTGAGAGCAGCTTGCCACCAGGCTCGAAAGGGTCGGGGTCATCTTTGGTGAGTTCATGAGATGAGAACTTGAGCCCAGTGTCTTGATCTATTTTATCAGTTTCAATAGGCTGGTCAGCATCCACATTGATATTCTCATTGAAGAAATTATCAATAGAGTTGGTAGGGTCTTGATACAAGTCTATTTGTTCTCGTTGGATTTGCTCAATTGTCCTTTCCAGCTTGCGTTCTATTGCACGTCACTCGGGATTTAGTAGCAGGTGATGGGCCTAATAGGCACTCAAAGGTTGAGCACCTGCAGCTGTAAACGAGTTGTAAGCATTATAGTAGTTTATAGTGGCATGTAAAGTCTCTGGTGAGTGAAAGTTAGAGCCTAAATTTGGTTCACTACTACCAAAGACCTGTAAATTAATATCTTCAGTAGTTAGTATACCATTTTCAATCATTTGCTGTTCTACAAGTCTGGAAGAGGATGCTTGAGGCTCTGAAAAGTTGCATTTTGGTGGTAGAATCGCCTCTCGAGTGGTGTTTGCAGCAGCTAGGCTTGGTGGGTGGCCTATGTGGGTCATTTGTGACATGGCTGTTTTTGAGCGCAAGTTGGCTCTCTCATGAGTTTGTTTTGTTGCAGGCGTTACAAGTGCACCATCACAGTTCTGAGTTCTGCAGTAGCAGTGAGTGAAGGCAGGCATGATAGTTGATGGTGATGGTGATGATGGTAAGGTTGATGCCGCATGGCTTAGGCGCGGCAGTGTACGATCACACACAAGTCAACACCACATGCACTAGGCTACTAGGCTTATTTTTACATTTTCTCGTTGAACTCTCATTCAATTCAATATGTATGAGCATAAAGATAAAACAGTCAGATGGGATTGAGCGCATTCTGTGCCACAAATTTACACAATTCGTGATACAGAGAGCATTTTGAGATGCTTGGAGGATGTTGCAGCTTTGAGTGGAGATGTAGGTCGTTTCCTCTGTGAATAATAGTACTTTTTAGATTGAATGTGGATAAGATTTTGAGGACTCACCTTTAATTAACCAAGCTTTCCACTTTGAAAGTTTCTTGGTTGCTTTCTGGTTCAGTAAGGCTGTTGTACTCGGTGGTTGGCGGTTGGGGTCTCTGCGGGGCTAAATGGGAAGGGTGCATTAAAAACTGTAGACAGCAGGGTCACTGCTTACTCGATGTTATAGCCTCTTTTTCCTTGTGTGATGCACTACTTACGGTACTGGATTGTTTTATCTCAATAGTCTAGAAATACAGAAAGGTTAATACAATAAGTATAATGTGCATAATTTACCATAGGTCCAGGGAAATCTGGTGTGAATGTCACTCTATATGTTTCGGGATATTTGAGGGGAAGTTCAATTGATATCGTGTTGTTGAAATCCAACAACATGTTAAAAGGACTTAGTGAGATTTTTTGAAAAGAAAAAGGCTAAAATAGACTCACTTTCATCCCAACGTCAAATACGGGTGAAGCTTACAAAATCATAGTGGTCAGATGGCTTTCACTCCTGCACTATACCACTCTAACATTCATCCCAAAATGGTTGATTGAGGTCACGCCGTTAGGGGAAAACACTCAACAAGTAGGCATGCAGTATCTACATTTTTTGTCAAGAAGTCAAAATCTGTTCAAGAGTTTAGACCACTGTGATGATATTATCAAAGCAACACATGAGCTTTCCTCACATATACACATTCACTCTTGACGTAACATTTCACTGAACCCTTTGCAGGGCACAACTCTTAAAATGCTAGATAGAAGGGTGGGCAAAGTTAACATGTTGTCAATGTCTTCATTATCATGTTCTTCGTTCTCATCCAATGACCTAGTTTTATTGTCATGCAAAATTTGGCGTGATAACCACATTGCATACTTTCACGCTGACAACATGGTTTTGTTACATACTCATGAAAGGTTTTAACTACAGTTCCCTGTATTATCAAACAGTGCTGCCCCATAATGCCGTTATATTATTGTACTAAACAAGTATCAAACATGTGGTTATTCTGTGTAAAGCCAGGTAGAAAGAGCAAAATAGTATCTGAAAGTTAAACTATACAAGAGCTGAGTTAAATGTTGAGATCAGCTTTTATCACATTTGTATTGTTTGATATGAACTTCCATCAGAGCTATATCATTGATTTGCAAACAACGAGCAGGGTATGCTTCCATATTGTTTTTTGTGGTGAATTTTTCCCTTGCATCATATACAGCCGTGAAAGGGAGAGCCTGAGATTTCATTAGAGTGCATCATGTTGAAAGGGCAGTACAGACCTTTTGGGGGGATCCTTGTCCGTCACGGTCAAACAGTGTCTGGTGATGCCAGGCAATAATGTCTGACCAATCCATTTGTGGTGAATCTGACCATGCACAAAAATGAGAATGTGTAAGAGGGTAGGGGACCTAATTTACCTTGTGGGGGCTGCTGAAGTCTGTCAATCAATTATTGAGAGGGGAGAAGAGCAGATTTAGTGAAAAGATCAATGGCAATGTTGACACGGGGCTGCGGAGTGCCTTGAGGACCTTTTTCAAATAACCATGGTTTGCTGATTTGACCAAAAATCCAGACAGTGTAGAGGGTGTTTGTGGTTTTGTCAGAAATGTAGTACATCCAGTTTTTTTTGTGTAATTGTTTACCCCATGTCTTGATGTTGGGTACTTGGTTGATGCTGTAAGTAAAACTTTGATGGTTAGCATAATTTGCGAATATCTCAACATGCCTGTATAAATATAGAGTTAGTGCGCTGTTGTCAGCCAGATAATAGATGCTCACTGAATAACAGGATCAGGAAGTGAGCTGTAACAGGCATCTTTGTTCAATTGAGAACTTCTGGGAAGTGTCTAGCCACTTTCTGAGAGCTAACAGGGACAGAACTAGAGTCCAGTATTGTTAGAATACACTCTGACATACCAATATTGCATAGGATAATACCTCTGATTTGTAAGCCAGCCCAGTATGCAGCAGCTATTCTGTGTAAGACATCTGTGGTTGCATGTCATGTTTAAGATCCTACATTGTATAACCTTGGCCATATAGCTCAATTGGTAGAGCAGCTGGCATGTATCCAGAAGGTTCCAGGTTCAATCCCTGGTCTGGTTATTATCCAATTTTATCACCTGATTCTGCACCTTTGTGCTACCTATATATTTTCATTCCTTTCTCTATCTATTCTTCTATCATTCACTATTGATTGTGTTCTCTATTATTTCACCTTTGTGGCTGATTTGTTTACCTTTGTTTACAAAACTTCGGACAGTACTGCAGAGTCCAATGCTTCCTATTCTCTAGTTACTCACATTGGACTCTAGGTACTGTATACCTGTTATACTCTCTAATAATAAAGTTACTCACATTGGACTCTAGTTCCAGTCCCTGATTGCTCTCAGCAAGTGGCTAGACACTTCCTTCAAGCTTTGTTCTTAATAAGTATGAGTAACTATATTATCGGACAGGACAGAATGTGTACGGTACCTACAGTGCAATATGAGTATGTAAGGAGTGGGAAGACTTGTCCTGGCACTGGGTAGTGCGAAGTTCTGTGAACATCAGGTTCATAGATCAGCCACTAAAGGTGAAATCTCGAGAACACTACTCAATAGTGAATGCTCGAAGATCGATGGAGAAAGGATGAAACTTTATAGTAGCACAAAGGTGCTGAATCGGTGATAAAATTGGATAATAACCAGACAGGG